TTTCACGCAGTGTGAATGCTGCTTTTTTGGTGAGCAGACACTCAGAGTGCCACTGAAATGTCTCTCTTACACCCCTTGGATGCTGAATGTGGAAACTAAACAGTTACACTCTTCTTGGCCCTTACCATATGGCATCCGGAGCTCATAATTTTCAACTCTTTCAACTCAATACACAAATGTGTATTTGTGAGCTAAAGCAGAATTCATTGAGTAGCAAATGTAATAAGATTATTTGATATTCACTTTTGTTCCAGCTTCAGTTTTGCTGAGCAGTGCAGAAATGTGCAGAAGGTACAGGTTGCTGGGTAGAGCTTCTGAAATCACCTCAACCCAAATGTTGTTAACTGCGCCTGTCACGTTCTCACCAGTTGTTTATACAATTTGTCATATCAGGGAGGTTTCATTAAAGCCAAAGGGCACTGTTTCTGGTTCCTCAATTTAGAGCAAAGCAGTATTTATTTAATAATATGTATCTAGCCCACAAGTATTTGATTTTAATTGCATCTATTAAAAATATATTAAACTATTTCTAGATTATGGATCTAGGATGTCATGCCTAATCTGTTGGGAGGTAACTCCAATTGTCAGTTACCTCCTGTATTTAAAAATATTTGAATAATTAGTCTAAATTTGTCTGCCTTGGGCTTAGTGCCATCATCCCTTGGCTAAACTGAGGAATAAGTTATTCTCAGAATACAGGCAAGCAAAAACATAAATAACAGACTGATGATTAATAGTGCTGATCACAGTTAATTTTTGTAATCTATTGGCTATCTGTCAGAGGATTCATGCTGTTGTTTTTTTGTTAGCTAGTTTGTTTTTATCATCTGAACTTTAATTGTACTGTATTTTTTTTTTTCCAAATGCTTGGAGAAATGCATTTTATTAATTCATCTGCTTTTACAGGTAAAGTTTATGGAATAAAAATTGATGCTCTTGGTTCTGTATCTGGTTATTTCACGTTCTGGGTTACCCCAAACCCTTCAGTTTGGGTCACAAATGTCAAATATCTGCTTCACTGATATAGCAAGCAGAATGATCAGTTGAAATATGTGCATTCATATTCACTAGCTTTGTTCTCATTTATGTAAGAATCTAGAAACTCGTTATGTGTATCAGGAGTTGAATATATGCAATGTAGATATGGGTGTGTTCACTTATTAAAATGCATGGAAAAAATGAGTTTGAATGTATTGGCTTTCCCTACATGTACGGCCCACACAATTTTTTTTGGCCAGTCTCTTTACAGAGTGTAAAGTTTAAATTTTGTCATATGTACTTCATAAGCACTTTCACCATTTTCTGTGAGTTTATTGTGATGTATGTCTTATTTACTTGAAAAAAGAACAGATGTGAAAGTGAAGAAGAACAAAAACAAAAAAGCAGGTGAACAAATTAAACATTGCTGTAGTATCAGATCAATTTTTTCTATTTCAACTAAAATTGATATATCCTCAGTCATGTTCTACGTAGATACATATGTATGTCTATTTGAACATTTTAATAATGTTAGTGTTATATGATGTTATTTTCTAGACAAACTATTTGATGGATTTGAGTCAGCTACAGTATACAGATCTCTGCTCCATATTCCCTGTGTAACTTACTTCAGAAACCATGTCAAAATGCAGGATTGAGGATTCTGGCTTTGGCAAGAGGGTACAGGATCTTGATGAGCTTCAGTCAAAAACAAATATAACTACAAGATATCAAATATTTTACGCATGATGAAAACGTTTATGATCACCCACCATCATACAGTTCTTTTCATCAATTAGACCAGTTTCTGTTATCTATTCCTTAGCCTACTGAAGAGGCCTTGTCAGAACTTATCTGAGATTAAAATAACAACCCAACCCCACAACAATAATTCATTTCCAAGGTAAAGTCATAGGAAATGAAAGATGTGATGAAAGGGAGGTGTCATGGCATTACACCAAATACCATTATTACATTCTTCCAACAAATAAAAGTGCAAGAGGAAAGCTGTAGTAATCAACCAGATTAAAAAGAAATAGTAACAATGATATCCCACTTCTTGTCAATCTCATTTAATTTCACCTTTTTATGTATTTATGCTTAGGAATGTTAATTTCTTTAACAATTAATTATTCTTAATTTATTTGTCAACTGAATGCTATATTAAAAAATAAAAATGTTTTAAGAACAGAACTTATTTTTTTTATTTTTGTTTAGGGAATGGTTTTTCTTTAGATGGAAATTTAAAAAGGTAAAATTGCATGTGTCTGAGCAGAAGTGTAACTAGAAAGAATTAAGTTTGTGGTTTTACCACTGACGTTCAGCATTGCTAGAGAATGCTCATGCTGTTAATGCTTTGCTTGAAAAGTAGGTTAGAAGTCATATGTGCAACAATTATCTGCTTAGACTCCTGACTTCCACTACTGTGCCTGTCTGCCTGTCTGAATGTTAAGCATGAGCAGAAATATGGCTCCTGTCATGTTAGATTATTCTGTGGATCTTTTGTGAAGTAAGACAGAGTTTTATTAGCGTAAAGTTGTAAAGTTATATTTAGTTATGAATTAAAAAAGAACTAGATCCAAGTGTGAATTGATTTGCTGAAAATAGCTTTTTATAGAAATCTCCTCCCTGTCTTTGCTCTCTGAGTTTTCATTATCCTAGTACCTCATGGGTTTAGAGAGACTTTCATTTTCTTTTGCCCTTTGAAATGTGGAATAAGTTTGAATTCGATTTTCCTAATGTTGTCATTGTCCAAAATCTGTCATCTAGCTAGAACTTGTTACCTTTATTCCTAGAATTCAAACTGCTCGTTATAGCAGTTGATACAATAAACTTTCACTTATTTGTTTAGTGGTCCATAACCATATCAGTAGGTGTGCAGAGTTCCTTTCTATACTGAATCTCTATTATGTGACTATTGCTTTCTGTTTATGGAAACTTTCTACCTTATGTCCTTGCTAATTTTTTCATCCCACTGTGTCATGTTGAGAATAAGATATCTTCTCATGATAGAGAACAAAGCAAATAAATAGTTTATGCAATTTTATTTAAGAATGGTCTAGGAAAGTGTTCTGTACCTGAGTGCAGTGTCTTCATGCAGTGATTTTTATCAGTTGTTTATCGCATTTAATTTCACTTAACAGATAAACCATTTTAGAATACGGAACGCACATAAAAATAATAAGTGTTATTAATTATTTAATTATCCAAAGTTAGAAGTATGAAATAAATTGCTCACCGCTTCAGTTCTGCATGTAAGAACCTATGTTTCTTCTGCTCAGAAAGAGTAAAGGTCAAAATGAGAGAATAAGCAACAGGAGATCTGTATTTGCATGGAGACTCAAGGTAGTATTTTGTTGTTGTGGTTCTCTATCTCACATGGGAATTATTCAATACCTTGTAGTTTTCTATGATATTGCACCATATTCTGAATAATCAATTTAGTGGAAAATAACTTTTGGAAGTCAAACCTTTCTGCCATTTTGTTGACAGAAGTTGAACCTACCTGCCATTTTGTTGCTGTGTGTCAGATTGCAGCAGAGGGGCAGTCTGACAAAATGGCATCTGATATAGAACTGTGTAATAAAGCAAAGCCATGGAACTGAATTCATCCATGAGAAAAACTTGCACCTGTTGACATTCATTGGTGCTTGATGAACATTTTTGGAGACCCAAAAGTGGCTGTGAGCAGAGTGAGGCAGTAGGTGGTGCATTACAGTAATGGAGACAAGAGAGAAGTCAGATTTTTATGAGCCTGCAGGCTTTTGTTCATCACTGGAAAAAATGCACGGCTAATGGTGGTGACTGCATTGAAAAACAGTGTTTTGTAGCTGAGAATTTGCTCTATCCAAAAGTGTTATTTTACTCTTTGTATTGGTTGTCGTTTCCATGGAAATAAATAGGAAGCATTACTTTCAGAGCAACCTGCATAGAATCCCACTGGAAATTTATTGTAGCTGGATGTTTTTCATAATTAAATAATTCACAAACCCATTCTAAGTACTTGTAATGTCACTGTTTTTACTGCTTCTATTTGGGAATGTACATTCTAAATTAAGTTTAATCTTGCAGCATTCCTGGTATTTCAAATAATATTATCAGGTTTCTACTTTACAGTAGGAAATTATTACATTTAAAAATTACTATTTTATTGTTATTTTCTCTGAAAATAGTCGGAAATGATGACCAGGAACAGAAATAGAAGGCAGATATTTCACATTGTCAGATGGAAAGGAAGGTTATTTTTCTCGTATTCCCAATTAAAATGATTCAGTGATTTTTGCTTAAAAGAATGCTCAGTCATAAGAACAAGTAACATGTTTAGAAATGCGGTGGGTGGTGTGGGAGTGGAGAGAATTACACGCAAAAATTGGAAGGAGTGTGCTTTGTCATTTGAAAACTTACTCAGTTAACAAATTTGTTAAAGAATGTGGGGAATTTTAGAAATGAAAATAATTAGTGACATCGTTAGTTCTGGCCTGGAGTGATAACAAAATACTTGTGATCGAGAAGTAAGTGCTGGCAAAGAGGTTAAAGCAAGTTGCACAATATCGTGAACAACTGAAAATTTATCTGTTTGATACCCTTCGTTTTGTTTTTTTTTTTTTAACCAGAAACATAGATGTTCCTAAGTTTGGGAACTGTCTTGGGAAATTTAATTACTTTTTTATGAAGGAATTTTACAGATTTTCTGTGTCAGGCTGGAGATGACTGTATAGATAATTTTAGCTGTAACATTACTGGTAACTCTTTATCTTAGAGAACTTTATTTTAGGTACACTAGTGCATGGCTTTATGGTTGAGTCTTTATAAGCTGAACTCCCTAGAAGCTTCTTTATGGAGTTCAGGCAACTCTTGGAATGTGTTGATGTTTGTTGATGTCGCTGCTAGTTTCAAACAATGTATGCATTTCCTTTCCAATTAACAGTGCTTTTGAAGTTTTGATGGCAGTTAACTTCTTGTAAGAATGCTAACAATTCAGTTAGTGATTGCTTATTAATTGAGATATTTCTTTTTTCAAGGGAACGAAAGAAACTGAAGGAGAAGAGGAGTCTGGTTTAATTGCGCCTGCTGAAGTCTTTGCTCCTAAGAGTCTGGTGCTTGTGTCCAGACTAGATTATCCAGAAATTTTCAGGGTAAAGAACTTAGCATTGCCATTTATAATGTCTGTCAGCAGACAAATCTGGTTTTAATGAATAGCAGTGACATAAATTTTGATATGAAATGACTCAGGATTGACTTGGAAATTTCACAGCAAAAATCGATTTAGAGTGAGCTAGATAAAATTCAATTTCTATGACAGTAAATAGTCCCTCTAGATTAGAACAGCGCTTTTTTTACTCTCCAAGTAATTCTATATCTTTGTAGAAGATGAAATAATAAACTGACCTCAGAAAAATCTCTATATAATGAAGGGAATTATTAGGACAAAACCTGACTTGCTAAGATAAAAATAATGTATTAACAATAATTGATCAAATATTTAATGTAAATGAATAGTGAAATCTTGTTTTCTTCCATATGTAAGGTAAAAATGTCAGAGCCTCTTCCAGATCAAATTAAATTGCCTGACAGAGATTTAGGATCTTGGATTTCTTTCAGCTGTTGAGGTACGGCTGATCAGAGATAAATTAAAGGCTCAAATTTTTATTAAGCTAATATATATTAACAGAAACAAATATAATTCAGCTAACAGATCACGTTGGAAAATCACTCAGTGGTAAGTTGTCAGTAGAGATGAAGAATGACGGTATCAACTCAGATGAAAATTCCATACAACTGAGTACATCTCTCCTTGTGGCCTTTTGTGAATGCGGAGCAAAGTGTGTAGAAAGAGGGCAGGCTGTAGAAATAATTCCACTGAATACTTTCCCAGACCAATGTGAATTATAGTTTAATGACATCCTGAACCAGAGGTGTCAATTGTATGATTTTTTCGTATAATTTGTCCAGTTTCTTGACTCTTGATTTTATAACATCTCATGGCAAGGGATTTCATAGCTTAACTATGTGTTATATGAGAAATTGCTGTTGGAAGCTTGTCTAAGAAGAGAATTCCAAAGATATTTACTGAATTATCAAAATTATAGCAGTTAAAAGGCACCAGAAGGATGTTGTGGAATGGAGTTATTCAGGCACCCAGTTATCCAGGCTTTTTGGACCATAATGCTAAGTCATTTTATGTTGAATTTAAAATGATAAAGATGCATCTCCAGTTTCTCAATCAAAACCAAAGCCATGCAAAACAAGTACAGAAATGCTGAAATGCTAATATATTTATATTAACTCATTTAAAATATGTTTATATTGATACAATAAAGTTAAATAACATGAAGGGCTATCCAGTCTTGATGCTAGTTTTACAATGAATCTGAGGAGCTCATTGGTTCATCTGTTTTTTACAGCCAAATTTAGGTCCAGATAGTTCAGACTGCAGATGAAGCTAGGATAATTTTACAAGTATGGTCGTTTAAAAAAAGCAATTATTGTAAAACACTTTTTGTATAATTGAACAAAGCTCAAATACTGCATGTTGAATTTCTTGTTATAAAAGATTATATTTGCACCTGCCAGCACGTATGTTGCTTTTATGTCCAAGTTCATTTTTTTTTAATGAATATTTACTTCTATAACATGTTTGATTGGAGCATACTTCACTATATTAATCTCTATTAGACACATATATGTTTTAAAAAATTATATGCATCTCACTTTAAGTAATTTCAAATCTGCGTTCCCTGTATTTATATTTCCTGTGTTTTTGTAGGCTTGCCTTGGACTGATCTATACTGTGTATGTGGACAGCCTGAATGTGTCCCTGGAGGCTCTCATTGCAAATCTCTGCTCATGCCTTGTCCCTGCTTCTGGAGGGTCTCAGGTAAATGAAAAAAAAAAAAAAGGTATTTTTCCAGTTAATTGAATTTATGAAGAAAACAAAAAAAAAAATTCTTTAAATATTTTTGTTGAAAAAAAGATCATAGTTCAGCTGAGTGCTTTCCCTGTGGCCTGCGAGTGCTTTCCCTGTGGCCTGTCTTCTAAAGAGAGCAGAAATTCCATTCCAGTATAAGGTCAAAGGGTTAATTTTGTCACTGAGTTGGCTTTTTACAAGGCACAGTAACAAATCAAGCAGTTTGTATAAGTTTAGTTTTTAATAATAACTCATGTTAAGGAAAATTTCTGCTTGCTATATATGTATTAAAAAGCTTTTTTGTTGTTGCTTGTTCATTTTTTTGTTTTACATATCCTTTCTTTTAGTTGTGTCTTTTTCTTGATGCAATTGAATATACCATTGATCTTTCCTTGGGTAACTGTTTTAAGTTTCTGTTTCAAAAAAACAACACAAAACAAAAAAAAACCCACAACCTTAAGCATGTTTTGTAGGTTTTTTTTTTTCTTTTTTCTTTTTTTCTGAATTGAATATGCCAGGTAGCCCACACATTTAAAAATGACAAAAAAGTTTGTAAATACACTTCTTTTTCCTCTTTACGTTGGCTTTCTATGAGCAAAAAGTCAGATTTGTTTGTTGATTTACTTAAAATAAATTATTCCTATACATTAATAGGTTTCTGATAGCCAGTTGAGTCTTATTTGCTTGATCTTTACTTTATGCTGTGACATTATTGGGAAATTGTAGCTCTTATCATGAAACACATCTGGAAACTAAGAATGCAAATGGAAATATTTTAAAAGTAGATTTCATATGCATTTTCTCATGCTTTGTATCCAATCCATGCATTTTCAATCTTCTTGAAATTGTACAAGTCCCTAATTCTTTGCTGTTTTTCCTGGCCACTTTGGAATTTCTCTTTAAGGTAAATGTAGCAAAATCTCCTTTTAGCCTCATCAGATCTACATGATTGCTCCCTAAACTTTCAGCTTTGAAAGGAAGTAGTTATATAATCTCTCTCTTTTTTTTTAATCAGAAACCCTTTTTTTAGTGGTATTTGGACCAGGTATTTGTTACAGTTTTGGTGGTCCACTTGAACTTCTGGCTCTTCTTTCTGTCCCCCTTTTCTTTTTTTTCTTTTTTCCTCTGTCCATAAGTAAGATTTTTGTCACTGGCAATGTCTTCTGCTAGAAGTCAGGGAAAATTTATATTTCACCTTCTGGTTTCTTTCTTAAAATGAAATGATTTTTCATTTGCAACTTAAATTCGTTGATGTCAAAATTCCATTTTAACCAGAAAATCAGTTTTTCTGTTTCCTTTCTTATGCTTGTGCTTTCAGGGCTAAATCTAAATTGTGTGTCTTAGAATGGAAACGCTCTTGATGTTTATCTCCAGAAGTCTTTGAAGGGCCTCCCAGGTTGTTTGTGTGCCCAATGCCAAAATGATCAACTGCAAAGCTAGTTACTAGCCTGCATCCAGGTCTGCTGCTTAAGAGCTGGGCAAGAGGATCTCTGCCACAGCTCAGGGACTTACTTGGTTTTACTGTGGAATGTTTTGCTTTCAGACATCTGCTGTGCAGCAACTAGCATTTGCTGCTACCTTCGTACTTTCAGTGGTCTTGAAAGCAGGATTATTTTGCAGTTATAATACTTTTTGAGCTGTGATACACAATTGTATTCCTTTCACTCTCACTTCTGGCCTCCCTTGTTGGGAGTATGTTCTTGTGCTGGAAAGGTAACTGAAGTTCTAATTCTACTGAAATATTCTGAGTGGGAACATAGGACTAGCAGGAGAGTGCTCTACAATATGCAGATGTCACTTGGGAAAAAAATTTAGTCTTGTGATGGAACATGAGTGTGAGCATGCAGATAGCACATATCAAAAAAACCTCAATTACAAAATAATGTAGTTTTTCTCAATTGAATGTGTTGTAATTTCTTTTTTTCCAGAGGGTTTTTTATTGTACTATTAAAAATGTAATACTGAATGCCTTCAAAGGCATGACTCACAAGGAAGACATTATCACACACACATGCATTCAAGAAGTCATATACTGACCTCAAATTATGTTTTGGATCTATGTTAGTTCAGTTATTCTTACTGATTTTAAGATCCTGTATACAAAAGAGATAATTTTTACAGGATGAATCACTTTATCTGTATGACAACAGTATGTTTATTCTATATAAATTAAATTTATTCTGAAAATACATATATTTGTTTCTACAGAAATTGTTTTCTTTGGGAGCTGGAGACCGACAACTGATACAGACTCCTCTACATGATAGCCTTCCTGTTACAGGCACCAGTGTGGCTCTTCTCTTTCAGCAGCTGGGTATGTCTAGGTCTGCTCTGCTCTGGGGGAGGTGGGGAAAATAATAAGAATTCGCAGAGTAAATTATTTTCTGTTCATATTCAGCTCATATCCTGTGCCAAGAAAGCAACATGGTCAATATTAATTTGTTTTGAATGAAAGAATGACTAATAGTGCTTTTATCCCCTAATCAGGCATTCATGTAAACTTTTTGTACGTCTTGCCTGTGGTACAATAGCTCCAATGTTATCCACTGTCTGCAAATGTATTGTAAACAGAGGTGAGCTTGGCCTTCTCAATTATGGCAGCATTCATGTAAAAGATTCTCTACCCCTTGGGTACTGTTCAAACTGAATAAAACCCAGTAGGTTAAAAACAAACTAGTAAACGAAAAAGTAGCTAGAAAAGATACTGATAATGTGGAACATGTTTTCCCAAGTCGTAGAAAATAATTTTAAGTGATTGGATTTTTTAAAAGTAGCTGTACTCAGGCAATAAGAAGAGAAACAGAAGCATTTATTGTTTAAAGTGAAGTTCTTGAATGCTTCTGAAACAGTGAAGAGATTTTAGTCTGTGCTGTAACATCTGTTGCTGAGCATCCATAGTGAATTTATTCTGGTCAAAACAGTAGTAACTTATGTTTCCTACGCCAGCTAGTTGTGAGACCTAGTGATTTGGCAGTGGAAAATCCTCTAGATAACAGAAGATTTCATATGGTGGAACTGTCAAGGTCTATATAGCAGGAATTGATATCAGATCTGATAAATGCAATATAAATACGTAATTGTATTATTCCAGGATTCTTACAGTATTATTTCAGAGTATTATTCCAAGAGAAATATTAATATTTTGTGGATAGATGCAACTAATGTTATAGATGATGCTTATCCTGACCACAGTTCCAGAGGTTTTACTTTGCTTATTATACCAAGATTCATTAGAATTAGTCTGAGCACACCACAGGCAATGGTTAAATCATGGAAGGGCCCAACAACGTCTTTCTGTTTGGTGAAGATGTGAATTATGACATGAGTCACAGCATGGTATGGTACGCTTGTTCTATTAGTATGCTATGAGGTGCCTAGATGAGGCAATATATTCTAGGGCAATTGTAGCAAAGGTTACTGCAAATGCTTAGTTCTGAGAATGTCAAAGGAAGCAAGGTTTTTTGCTAGTGCTTAGATTGGTTACTGTGTGACACATGGCCTTTGTATGGCAAATTGGGGTTGTATTATTTTATGTCACAAGATCAAACTGAGATAACAAAGACAAATCATTTCATGCGTCAGATTTATGGAGAGAAACTATGTAAAGAGAGTGGGAATGTGAGTATGGAAGGGGAAACCAAGAGTACCATCTCTTCCTCTCAGGTTCTTAGTAAGGTCAAGTGTGCAGATAGAGCCTTTTAAATCCCACTCATTTTGTATAGAACGAAATAATAACACTTTTGTATGAGAATTTAATATCGCTTTCAGATACATGGGATTTAAGGTGATATTATTAACCACATTTTATTAATGGGTAAATACAGGCTCACTGATGTCATGTAACTCGCTGAAGAGTTGCTATAGAAGGGTATCAGAGAGTTTAAAATGTAACTGAGATGCTTAGTGTAATACTCTAGCCATCGCTAACACTTTGTTTTAAATCTTATTTTTTGGAATTGTTTAATTCCTTATTAGATCATTTATGCTCTGCTGTTGTACACCTCTGACTTACTCTTTGTCCACCATCTCTTCTGTTACCATTCTCACTTACTTTTTTGCTGTAAACATTCTGGGTTTCTATACTTCTGCTTTTTTTCTTCTTCTAAGTTGCACTAATTTTTGGAGTTCTGGTCTTTCTTGTGTTTTAATAGCATGTAAGGAGTACAAGAAAGAGTCAATAAGCACAAATACACCGTGTACCCATTCCAGGTACACTGCACGGAAGAATATGAAAATCAGGAGGAAAGGGAAAGGGAAAAAATGCGGGAGAAGTTCCTTATTACTCACAGTTCTGATTAGTGACACTTCATGTTGGCCTGAAGAGAGAGAGGGAGAGAAGAAAGTATGTGAGATAGATAGAGGGAAGTTTGTGATTATAAAACTTGGCATAGAAACTGCAAGCTTGCATCCCATTTCTCTGAAAAGATGATACAAGTTCCTAAGGGGAGGAAAAAAAAAAAAAAGAGAATGATTCCATGTACCCTGTCTTTTTTATCGTAACATCATTTTCTCATTTCCTCAAAGCCCCGGAATTTTTGTAAGAGCCTAACTGATGTTCTTGTGTGGCATTTCTTCCTGTCTCTCTCCTATTCCTTGGTGTGATGGAGAACAGGAATCTTTTAAAATTCTGCAGCATGGGAATGTCAATTCCCAGCTGATGTCTCTTTCAAAGTTTTTTGGGTCTCAGTATCTGAGGATAGAGCACAATCACTTTGAATCTTACAAATTAAAAAATGTTAGCATTGTATAGTGTATATCACTTTACAGAATAGCACATGGCTCCTTTCACATGTAGGTGGTATATATCTTTGATAGAGTTGTTATGTTCTTCTAAAGGCAAGGTTTGTTAATGGGAAATTTCTGTTTGGATGTACTGAAAAAGTGTTGTCAATACAGCTGCATATAGCTGTCTGTAATCGTTGTGGAATATAAAATGTTCTTAATTTATTCTTACTTCTTATATAACCTTATGTGTAGCATTAATGACAAGAATCCTGAAAGAATCTATTATAGTCTATCCCTTTGAAAAAGTTTTTTCTTTTCTTTTCTTTTTTTTTTTTTTTCTCTAAGATAGAGTCTAATACTTTTCTTTAGATACCATAGCCTATTAGAAGCCTTTTGTGCTTTTTGTGATGATAGTAATGCTTGTTCTGTTTCTCTGGCTCTTATCTCTACCAACCTATCAAAATCATTTGGCTTCCATTGTCCAGCATGTTGTTGGCTAGTTTAATTTGATGATAGCTACGATCCCATCATATTCCTGTTTTCAGAACACAAAGGTTGACTAGACTGTTTGTTGAGTAACAATATGTTCCGTTGTTTCTCTTCCGGTACAAGTCATTTAATCCTATTTGAATTACTAATAGAAAATTGAAGAGTAGTTAGAAAAATATTTGTGAACTGGATAGATCACCTTTTTAAAAATAGCTCGTTCTTTGAGAAAGATGGGTGACGACAAAATTTACCACTATGAATAGATACAAAAGTAATTTCAACATTTATTTTGAGAAATATTGTGCAATAGTAGTCTCATCATGCTTTTTCTTCTTGGCAGGATAATATGTCAGAAGATGACCCTCCCTATATTACCAAGTTTACAGCATATCTGGAAATAGACTTTGCTTTTACTTGGGCCGTAAACTGCAGTTGGGAAAAACATCCCCAATGGCTTTAAGCTGTAATAATGAACATCAATCTTTGACACTTCAAATCTTACATTCTATTTATTTCAAAAAACGTAATTGATGAGAATAACGTGACAAGAGCCAGGCATGTAGCTGGATCACTACACCTAAAAAAAAAGATTTCATGAGCAAAGAATAATAGTAATCATGAAGCTGTGTTTATGAATGATCCATGATAAGTAGAAGTGTTTAAGTACTCTTCTATTACTCCTTGCCTGTTAGTGAGATGTTAAATGTCTGTAAAAGCTTTAAAGCAGGGTAGCCCTTTTGGAGATTGAAGGAGATTTTTATTGTTGTTGTCTTTTAGTCCCTCGCACTATATTTACAATACGTTCCTGTGTCTCTGCTTCAAACTCTTTCTTTCTCCAAATTCAAGTATTGCTTGCCTGCTCCATTCTGGTATTGTTATTGAGTATGGCTTTCTTTGGTCATTTGTATTTGAGACATACACCTACATCCCCTCAGTGGGCATCATTTCCTAATGAACCTAAGGCAGAAAACTGTATCAGGGACCTCAGCGATATACATCAAAGCAAGAAGCTCAGATTTAATTAGCCCTTTCAATTTTTGCCTGTTTCAACAACTGGCAGTATGAATCTCACTGCTAAGCTGATCAGAACAATTAAGAAACAAGATGTTCCTTAAAAATTAATGTTTTGTCCTACTTTCCAAACGCTGAAGGCAAGGGTTTTCCTTCATTTGCTTATTGCTTGGTCTCTTATCTGGGCTGCCTTTCTATCCTCACATTTCCTTCGCTCCATTCAGTAGACTTCAGTCCTGTGGACTTGTCTAGCTATATGGATTTGCTGCTTGTCACCTGCCTTACCTGGAGCTTACTGCCATTTCTGGTCCCTGGCAGCTAGTGGTCTTCAGTTTCCACTGCAAATGTACTGAAAGAGTCAAGGAAGACGATGTTTTGGTATTAATTCTTAATTCTTAATGATAGCTTTTGGTTCCTGTGCTGTTAACAATCAAACCTTGCAAGTTTGAGAAGAGATGTAGTTATGGACCTGTACCTACTTGCCTGGTACAGTTTCATCCTGAGGAAGAGATTTTTCTTTATCTTAGAACATGCATGCTGGTCAGATTGTCAGCATGCTGCAATAAAGCTGGCTTCGTTTGTTGATAAACTTTCCAACATAATTTGCCTCTCATAGCAATACCTCAAAAATCATGATGTGAGCATAATTGTTCATAATTGTTTATATATCTCAAGGATAAACAACACAGTACGCCAACTGTTGACCTATGGAGTAACAGAGAAATGATCTGATGGAGATTATCTAGAACATTTCATTTCAATTCTGAGAAAAAGAATTGGTGCTGAATCAGACATCGGCATCACTACACAGCAGAGAATTTCAAGCACATTGCTTTCCTGAAAAAAAGAAAGACTTTATAGTTTGCCAACTGTCATTGACAATTTTAGGTGCAAATTAGTAGACAGTATATACCAAAAGAGCAGTGTTAGCAGTGATGTCAGAGGTGAGTGATTAACAAAGCTGTTACAGGTAAGCTGCATTGTATATAGAATAGAGGCTAAAAAGGGTGACTGAGTGCCACATGTATCTTAAAAGTAAGAGAACCTGAATGTCTTATGAGGTGTAGCTGAGGGAGCTGGGATTGTTTA